CGCCGCCTCCGCAGCGCCCCCGCCGGGAGCCCCGCGCCGTCCCCCGCGTCGCGCCTCGCGTCCCGGCCCTGCTGCGGGCTCTCGGCACCGTGAACAGCCTGGTTGCCGCCTCGAGGCCCGCGGAGGACGCCCCCGACGGTCATGCCGAAGGCGGTGCCAACCGAATCCCAACCCGGAAGAATCCGAAGACGACGCCGGTGCCGCCCAGTGCCCCGCAAAGCGGCGGAGACTGAGGGCGATCGCACCGAGGGTGGCCCAGAGTGAGGTGCGGGAGGCGTCGCAGGTGGCCGGTGGGGCTCTGGTATCCCAGGGAGGGGGCAAGTGGATAGATCTGCCCCCCTCGTGGAGCGTGGCTCAAAGCTAGAAGGGTCCCTGGGCACTGCCAGCTACTGCTTTGGTATTAGGGGGCGGGGGGTGGAGGGAGTGGGGGGATGGGACCGGCAGAGGCTAGGGGATCCACCAGGGTCGCGCCTGGGGAGTGCGGATGACTCCGTGCGGCTGGTGGGCACCTCTGGAGACTCAGTCCAGGCTGGAGGGGTGTGTGTGTAGCTTCTTTTGGCCTAAAAGTTGGGGAAGGATCTGGTCCAGGAGTGTGTCAGCCTCCAGGAGGGCAGCAGGGAGCCCGAGGGTCTGTGGTCCCCACTCTGCTGCCTTGCAGGCTCTTCTACTATAAGGTCTTAGGGAGGATGCAGGGCCTCCATGCACTGGAATAGAGTATCACTCACACACTAAGCAACAGACCTCAGGGACACGTGGACGGCTGAGACATTATCGCCTGGACACAGTGTCACTCAGGACAGTGCCATTCCAATGTATAACCACATTCCACATGGCACCAACTGGACAGCAGCCCGACTCTGGCCAGCCTCACTCTATTGACAGCTCGGCCCACTCTCTCACTGCTTGGCGTGGACACAGAGCCTCATCTCATCAGTGTCCTTCAGACTCAGCTTTGCTTTGGACAAGCGACTCTAAGGACAGTTACCCCTTCACTTAGCCTCACCACAGTCTGTTACCTGGACAGCAGCTCCTCTCCAGAAAGTATCACCCTACATTCAGACTGCACAGCCTAACTTCCCAGAGTGTTGCCTGGGAATGACTTCACCACTTCCAGATAGCCCTTCACCAGCTGTCCACTGTCACCAGGACCTACCCACCCACCCAGGGCAGCCTGCAGCCAAGTTTGGAACTAGCAGCTTCTCACCTCCTGGCCTCGGGGAACATCAGCTGGACTCATCATTTAACTAGGCACAATGTCCCTGGGTTAGTCACCAGGCTTCTTATTTATTTATTAAATTAGTCTTGGTACGCAAGGATCCCAGCTCATTTTTAAAATAAATTATGTAGTCTTGGGCTGATGGTGATGTTCCTAAGACCTGCTAGCTTTTCTCCTTCCATCTGATCAGGGTATTCAGACATAATGTGTAGGTTGGGTGTGGGGACCCCTTCTCCCTCTGAGAGGGATCTGGGGAGGCCTAGGGGTTCTGGATGGGGATCTGGGACTGGCTGTGGCGTAGAGGAGAGTCACTCAGGGGTCTCCCAGCTGTATGGACAGGCACGCTGAGGACTCAGTGGGGCTACAGCCTAAATCTCCCCATCGTGGGGAAGGCAGCACACCCCAGGCTTCACCCCCCAAGTCACATTAAGCCAAGGTTACTCTGTGCATAGTTTATTACAGGAGGGTGGTCGTGCCTGGATCCTATGGACCCTGCCAGAGTCCCATGCTGAGCCCCAGGCCCAGCAGAGCCCCATGCACACTGGTCAGGGTGGGGGCAAGGGGCGGTGCTGCTGCGCGGATGGAGGCTCCTAAGGAGGCCAAGATCCTGCGCCCCCCGAGAGGCTGCTGCGGGCGGAAATTATCCGTGAGTGGCGCAGGGCGTGAGCCCAAGGTCCCGGCCTGGGGCACGGTCTGGAACTGGGCCACCTGGGGGGGCGGGGCAAAGATGGGTCAAGACGGGGTGGGGAAGGGGCAACGCCCACGGGCGCGGGCCGGGGTGGGCACAGCTGCGGGAGGAAGGGCAGCCTGGCCCGGGCTAGGGGCAGTGACCCCACCTGCGCGCGCCCAATGGGTACGGCGTTCTCGAAGATGGTCCAGACATGGGCACAGCTGCGGGAGGAAGGGCAGCCTGGCCCGGGCTAGGGGCAGTGACCCCACCTGCGTGCGCCCAATGGGTACGGCGTTCTCGAAGATGGTCCAGACAACCGCAGGTTCGCAGCCGGGCGTGGTGAGCGACCCGGAGTAGCGATAGTAGCTCGAGAGGCGCGAGGCGTCCGGCAGCAGCGAGGCCAGCGGGAAGGTGGACTTCAGATTCACTGAGTTCCCTGGGTCGGGGCGCGGAGGGGAGATTGGAACCCACCTCCCTGCGCCTGTCGTCCCCGTCTCCAGCACCCTCTAGCAAGGATGTGACCCCAGCGGTGGCTCCTCACCCCGCACAGACACGTTCTTCAGGCCCGACACAATGGCTGAGAAGTTGGCGTTGTCGCAGTCCTGTTCCTGGGGAGGGGCTCCAAGTGAGCAGAGATCTGAGGGGGGGGTCTCCAAAAGGCAGGGAGGGTCACCCCCCATTGACCCTGCAGTTCCATCACCTCCCACGGTCCCCACCCTCCCACAGAACCAATTAAGTCCTACAAACCCTATAGCCCACCCCCAAATGCCCCTCACTACCCCACAGACTCCACAGGCCCACCCTACTCCCTCTGCAGACCCCTGTGGACTCCCTTTCTGGAAACACACACTACCCTATAGCCCACCCCCAAATGCCCCTCACTACCCCACAGACTCCACAGGCCCACCCTACTTCCTCTGCAGACCCCTGTGGACTCTCTTTCTGGAAACACACACGGAGTCACAGCCCCTCCTTCACCTCCAGCAGCACGGCCAGCACAGCGATCCCATCAGGGTGATGTAGCGCCTCCCCCATGCTCTGGTACTTTGTGTTCATGTGGACCACATGCATCTGGGGAGGCACAGACCATGGGAGGCACCCAGCTTCCCCACCAGGCTCCCCTTGTCTTTATGGGGCAGTCCACCACCCCAGCCCATGCCCGAGCCCACCTCCATGGGATGGCGCTGCCCATCCAGGCTGTGCTCTGAGCCTGCTCGCCCTGGCCTCCCCCAGTGGAAGTGCAGCTGCAGGGCACGGTAAGCAGGTGATGGCAGCCCGGCCCCCCAAATTTCCAGGTGGCTCTTTGGACCAGTGTCCACTCGGAGTAGCACTGAAGGTGAGGGAGCACATGAGACCTCTCTCCCATGCCACCTACCCCACCCTTGTGCTATAAGGACACAGGGTGCGTCAGCCCCTCATGCCCCTCTGCTCCCCGGCTGGGCTCATTGCCTCCATGGAATAGGATGCACTCGGGACTCCACAGACTGCAGTGGAGACCCCCCCACCCAGCATGGCCGGGGACAGCAGCCCCCTCCTGTGGTGGGGGTCCTGTACAGTTGTGACTACTCTCCAGGCATCCCGATTCTGTGGGGATTCTGACTTCTAGGTGTGTCCTGACTCCTTGTCCTCAGGGGCCATGGCTGGTTGCTATTTGTAGTGAGGGTTCTCACCCCCATGGGGGGTGTATCTTGACTGCTGTGTGCGGAGGTTCCTCTTTTGTGAGATTTTGGTTCCTGCGGGGGTTTCTCATTCTTGTACAGAGGTTCTTAATCCACTTGTGGGGGGTCAATGACATTTTTGTGGAGGTTCCCATCCGCTGTGTGGGGGTTCCTGCCCCTGTCTGTGGGGTCCTGACCCCCGGGTGCTGACCTGTATGGCCATCATTCTCCAAAGTCCATGGGCCTGGAGGTGCCGAGTCATAGCCTTGGAAGATGATCGGCCCGAGGGTGGAGTCCCGCTGGACTAGGTGAAGATCGATGTTGATGGGGGACTGGGCTGGGCCCCCACATGCAGGGGCTATCTCCTCCCAGTGGGTGGAGCCTGAGGGAAGAAGGTTTGGAGTCTGGAGGGGGTCAGAGAGGCAGCCTGGAGGTGCACAGAGAAGGATGGCCCTCACACACCCGGAGAATAGCCCAGCCTCAGAAACATTCTCCCCGCTTCCCCCCACACACCTGGATAGGTCACAGTGCTGCCCCTTCCCCCCAACTCTGCACCTGACCTAGCTACCTAGTCTGTAGGCAGACTGCCCCACAAGGAGAGGAGGGTGAAAGGAGCCCCTGGCACATGGATGCATACCCAAACTGGGGACCTCCACCACATGCACACACTTGGGCTGGCCACACTGACTGGCTCACAGACCCCTGACTAATAGCAGCAGGACTGGTGATCACAGCAGACCCGGACACACATACGGAGGGACAGTCACACACATAGTGCCTGGTGCCCAGACAGTCACTCAGGCACAGGACTACAGACAGGAACCTGCAGAGACCACAGAAGTATGGTGTGCAGACTGTCTCTTGGCCACGCTTGCAGCACTGGCACATGCTCTGGTGGCCCCAAGACACAGACTAATCCCGCACAACCTCACACAACACTCTGTCCTCACCACACTTTGGGTCCTGCGAGTCATAGCACCAGGCACCTGCAGACAATGGACAGGGGACAGAGCTGAGAGACCAGCCATCTGGGCCCTCTCCAAGCCCCATCCCAGCCAGAGTCCCAGAATGGGGAGTGGGGCTTTGGCTAGAGGCGGCCAGCCAAAGCCTGCTGTCCTGTCACCCCAACCCTGGTATCCCCCCCACAAGTGGCAGGACTGAAGGATTTGCGGAGAGCTGCGAGAAAGGTAGATTGGAGACCAGATGGGCAGAGTCCCGGCGCTCACCTTCCGAGTCCGCGCGCACCGCCAGCCGCACGGCGAGGAAGGCGAGCGGGAAGCACAGGGCCTGCATGGTGCAGCGGCCGCGGCTAGAGAGGACTAGAAAGGGGCCGAAGACCACGGAGCGGGGCTGCTGGCGAGGCTGCTACATATTCATTAGCGGGGTGCGCTAAGGGGCGTGGCCAAGTTCTGAGGGCTCGCGGGGGCCGGCCACCGCAGGGAGGGCCGGAGGGGGCGGTCCCAGGCAGGGACAGCAGGAAGAGAGAGCTCCAAATTCACCAGGCAGGCGCTCTGACCCCAGGTCTGCAGCTGCCTGTCAGCAACAACCACTGGCATTAATCCTGCAGGGGTGAGGGTGTCCTACTGTTATCTCCATTTACAGTTGAGGAAAAGGAGGCTGGGGACCAGGAGAGACAAGCCAAAGCCACCAGCAAGTAAGGAGTTCAAAGCGTGAGGGCACCTTGGATCCCAGCACCCGTGGCTCGAGGGGCGGGTTGGGGGGGGGGCGTGGGAGGACGTCTCTCGTCCTGCTGCGGGCCTGGGACGCCCACCCTCACCCCAAGACCACAGCCTCCCTCCTACACTCGGTCCCCTGCAGATCGGGCCCCTAATGGAGCCCTGCCCAGGGACCACCTCACCAAAGGGTCTTGGGGAAGCCACAGCCCTCCCCCTCTGCCCTGCGCAGCCCTGGTGGGGACTCGAGCTTCGGTAGCAGTTCCGGAGGCTCTGGAGTCCAGCAGACCCAAGGCTCGGCAGGAGCCTCAGTTTGCTCTCTTGGAAAGTGGGCTCTGAATCCTCCGCGCAACGCTGCCTGGAAATAGCTCCGCACCCAGGCGCCCGTGTGCCCGCGGGTGTGAGCACGACAGGGCTGGCGGGTTGAGCGGGCAGGAGGAGGGGTGGGGTAGGGTGGGAGGACACCTCTGCATCCGGCGCCTCTTTCCAATCGCCAGAGGGCCGGGCTCTTCCCACGCCGGGGAAGCGGGGCGACCCCCACCCAGCGGTAGCAGGGGCGAGAGCGCTATCCGCGGTGCTGACGGCGGTCGGGGAGCCCAGCCCGCACCCCCCTGCCGCAGCAGATGTGTTCAGGAATGATGGGTCGCCTCCTCGGAGCTTCCATTTCTACCAGGGGATTCACCGGTTCCTTTCCTAACCCTGACCCTTCGCCCGTCTGGCCGCCGCCGTCGCCCGGCTTGGAGCGCACCCCGGCGGCGGGGCGCTCGATCACACTTCCCGCGCCGTGCCAAGAGGATGGGTTAGGAAGGCGAGCTCGAGGATTTCCACCCCGGGGTTGAGTCGACCAGGTTTCCTCCCGTCCCCGAATCAGGAGTTGGGAATTTCTCGAAAAGACCACTATCGGAAAACAGGAGACTCTCGGAGCCCCGCACCCCTCCCTAGCTTCCAGGTATGGTCCAACTCCTCCAACCACCCGCCTCTGGGGTCACAGCACGACGTCAACTCGGACCGAGCCTCCCACCCCAGCTCCTCGCTTGTGCAGGAATGAGCGTGCTGCGGGGTCCCGCTGCCCCACTCTGAGAGACACCTTCTGGCCAGACCAGGTCCAGCTGAGCGCCCAAGCAAGCCTCATCGGGCACTGCCCCGGTTCTTAAAGGGTTCCTCAGGTCACACTGAAGGCCCATTTTATAGATGAGAACATGGGACTTCCAAGGCCCCCAGAGAGGGCTCGAGTCCTGTCCCCACCCGCACACACACTCAGGAAGGGGGGGGCAAACCTCAGTCCCACCCTCTCTGGGAGTGCTGGGCAGCCAGCTCCCTACCCTCTGGGAGTTACAGATGTTCCCACTGGTCTTCAAGACGGGTCTGAAGATGCCCCCAAGGGGCCACAGCTGCTTTGGAAAACCAGGTGCTTGGACTGCATGGAGGGGCTCCTTACAGCCACATGGTAATAAAGGGTGCCTAGAGAGGGAGATGGGTGGGGGGCCAAGTTCCAAGCACTTTCTGCCTGCCTCATTGCACATTGGCTGCCACAGAGTCAGGGCGGCCAGCCTGATCAGAGGCAGCCCTGCTGTCCACACAGATCCCATGCATGTCAGCAACACTGGCCAAGGCAGCAGCCAATGCCCTGAAATGGGCTTGGGTACCAGAGTGACACAGCCTCAGTTGCAGGGCCAGCCACTCACACTGCACAGTCTGGAGGCTCAAGCTCAGCTCCAAGGGACCTCAGGCCAAGGGGCCTCAGGGGTTCTGCTGGACATCTGCAAGGGCTGCAAGCCCTAGGAGAATCCTGCTGAAAGGTGGGTGCCCCAGACACTCCCATCTAGTTTGAGGCAGCTATGGGGGCTGGGTCACACCAAGGTCTGACTACATCTTTTCCAGAACACAAGTTTATTTGGCATTTGGATGAAACGGTCCTCACAGCATCTTAAGGATTAGTGCCAACCCAACCAAAAATAAACCCAAACTAAAAACCCTTAGTGAAAGGAAAACATAAAAACAGGCATCGAGACAATTTACAGTATCAAATTCCACCTCCACAAGGCAGGTCAGAGGGCAGCTGGGCTCTCAGGAACAGTGGCCAGGGTCCTGGGGTGGAGGCCCCTCCCAGGGGCTTGGCCTGTCCCTCTGGGGCCCAGGAACACAAGTCTCAGCAAAGGCTGGCCTTGGAATTCTTCATCACTCAGACCATGGAGTACAATCAGATCCTGCAAAGGGCGGCAGACTGGACGGTAGGGTGAGGACAGACAGGTAAACCCCAGCAGAGCTCAGCTCCTGGAGTGTCGTATCCTGGAGCTGCAGCGGGCCAGGAAGCCCTGAATGCAGGCTTTCTACCCAGCCCAAGTGCCAGTGGGCTGAGCACCCCAGGAGACCTAATGAAGGGAAGGGGGCCACTGGGCAACCCCGAAAGAGCATTCTTGGACAGAATTCTGTCCAATCCAGAAGCAAGCCCACCCTCTGCAGCCCCTGAGGTCCAATTCGGCCCACCTCCTTCCTCACTGCCTCCTACATGCCAGACTGGCACCAACAGTCCCCAAAGGAAGCTTCCCAGTCCCACACACCTTGTGCCAGCCACCCTGCCATGTATACTTGGTTCTGAGGCCTGGGAGGGACCCTCTGAGCTGTTGGGACCCCTGAGGGACTTGGCTGTGGTGGTCCTCAGGACCCTTGCTGGTCAGCCAGAACCAAGACGACTGCTGCTCTGGAACCTGGCTGCCCTGCATCCAGCAATGCTGGAGGCACAAGCTTCTTGCTTTGTCCTCAGCCACCGTGTGGGGCCCTTGTAGCCCATACATGATTCTCCAGGAAGTAGCAGCCCTTCAGGGAGGGGACAGCAGGTCTGTCCGGTATGCAGCCTCCAGCAACTGGCTACTGTGCACTGAGCCCAGGGACAGCAGTTCACTGACAAAACTCACAGCTCTGGCCAGCTCTGGGACTAAGGTCAGGTCTGTGGGGCAACTCAAGATTCTCATTCCACTTGGGAAGAAAATGGGTTTCCAACCGGTGTGAGAATGTGCCTAGAGGTGGACTGTGCATGTAGTCTGTCCCCAAAGAAACCTGCGCTTCAGTCGGTCCTTCCAGAGCCACTCATGCTGGTCTGGAAAGACTGCGAGAGAAGACGGAGGGCTCCATGGACCCTCGGCCGAGAGAGCAGAGGCCCAGACACAGTCCTGTCTCAGAGCAGCCCAAGACTCAATGGCCAAGCCGGGAAAGTGGGGTCTCACCAAGTTCCCGTGTACCACCACCACTTGCAAACACTTGGCCACATATGTACACACAGACACACAAACACACAAAAGAAAAGATCCAGACATTCAACATAGAAAAGATATGGATGTGCTAAAAATCGCACAGAACCCGCTTAATCTCCAAACCTCAGAAATGCTAAAGGCCCCATGTCAGGAGACAAGACCACTGCCCAGGAGCGGACAACAGGGTCCCTCAGCCAAAAGGCCCCCAGGCAGGGCATGCAGCACCCAGCACTGCTGAGGAGGGATGGGGGTGTGCATGCGGCCACTGGGCTTCAGCAGTGGTGGACAGGGAGTGGATTTTCAGGAGATGGACACAGCCCAGGATGTTGGTTTCGGCCACCCCTCCCCCCAAAGAAACCATCCTTTATGGCACAAACAAGGTAGGGTGGGGGCAGGCCTGGCCCAGAGGTGATTCAACAGGAGGTGGGGCCAAGGCTCCAGAGTGTAGCAGACAGGAGCCCACTCCGTCGCTGATCCCCAACTCCAGAGCCGTCTCCTGGGGAAGCCATGCACAGCGATGCTGGGAGAGTTGGAGGCGGTGGGGTGGGCCTCCTGCCACAGAGCTGCGCTTCACAGAGCCCAGCTGCAAAGACAGTGGAGAGTTCAACCTCCTTCCATGCTCCCCTTCTCAGGGCCTCAGGTCCCAGAGTCCCAGGCCAGCCCCCAGTCCAGGCTGAGGTCATCTCCACGTTTCTAGCTGGACCTGTGGAGGCCAGCTCCTCAGCAGCCATCGCAGCAACCTCAAAGGCTGCCTCCCTGCCTAAGCAATACTGACAGTCCACAAACAGCCTGGTGCCCTGAGGCACCCTTCCGAGTGGCAGCCAGAGGTGCGCTCTGTGCTGGTCCCACACTCGGCTGCCCCCGGGGCTCAGTGACCGGTGGGCAGACTTCTCTGGACAGCAAACTGCAGTGAGCAGGCCCACCAAAGGCGTGTTTGTTTTGGCCACGGCCCATGGCGCCTTGTTTTCTACCTCTAAAACGTGTGGTTTGAATAAACTTTTCATTCTTCTGCCATTTAAAAAGAAAGAGACAGTGACCCAAAGCTATGCGTGTTTTCGAAGTCCTCAGGAATCTTGGTGCAGGTGCCCCCTCCTCTTGGAGGGGGGCTGGCCGCAGTCTCTATGTACACATGCCCGCCCACCGGGGGTGTGCGGCAGTGGACTGGGGTCCAGGCTGAGGCAAGCCCTTCAAGTCTCCCGCAGGGACCGGTGTTTTCTCGACAGCAAACGGGTGCTCCTAGCCCATCTGGGCCATGGGCCGGGCTACCTATACCATGGTGTTAAGGGAGCTGCGGCTGTGGCGGCCACCCCCGGGCAGTGCCTCTGCAGCTGTGGCACTGCCACTCTGGGCAGAGTCAGGGGGCACGAGCAGGGCGCTGCTACTGTCGGCGGAGTCTTCCAGGTCTGCCAGAGAGGCCCCTGCAGTGGGAAGAGGCTGCTCCAGGTGTCGGGGCAACATGCTTTCACTGCCACCATCCCCTGGGGTCAGTGGCCCAACCTCCACAGGCTCAAAGGCATCGTCATCTGCAGGAGGAGACAGAGGGTGTCAGAGGTAGGTGTGGGCCTGATGCTGGAGACATGGGGGCTGGGCAGACTGGGGACACTCCTCCTGCCTGAACACTGCCACCACTGCTGGGTGGTGAGTGGGCCCTGGCCACCCTCCTGGACCTTGGATGCTGAGGAGGGAGCCCACCCTATGTGGGCGCTGTCGTGCACACAATGCCTGCAGCTGGGCAGCCAGTACGGGTAGGGTGCAGGGCACAGTCCGAGCAAAGCAGGCTGGGGCGCACCCTGCCATCACGGCGTGCAGTGGGGGAGATGCATGGACAAGAGCTGGCCAGAACAGACGGAGGCCAGGGGGAAAACCATCTCAGACTCATTGGGAGTGGAAACCAGGCCCAGCTGGAAGGGAGCAGCATTTGATGTCAGGGAGTCACTGGGCCCAGCTGTGGAAGACCACTCAGGGCTGCAGCCAGAATAGGGAAATCAGAGCGCAGGTGACAGGGTGAGAGAAGGCAGACCCGCAAACCATGTGGTGTCTTCAGCAGCTCTGGTACAAGAAAGCTTTATGGTGGGTGGCCCACTTGCTTTGCTGCCTGCCCCTTATCACCCTAGGCTATTTTTGGAAGCCAGTGGCACAAGGTCCAGGATGTGTCTCTCTCCTGGCCACTCCCCATGGCCCTGCCACCCAGCTCATGGAGGCATCTGGGACCTACTGCTGCCCAGCAGCATCCCTTGCAGGATGCTCCTAGTCTACCATGGCCCATGTGACAGCTGACTGCAACAATCTGTGGCCCGAGGGCAAGGGTCAAATCCAAGCCCTTCCTGCACCCCCAGACTACATGGGCTCTGTGCTGGCTGCCCAAATGAGCAAACACGACTGAGCCCTTTCAGCACAGTAGTGCCAGCCGTGTGGTGCCCATTCTGCTGTGGTGGACACCTGCAAGAAGCCGGTTGCCCTGGGGTGGGGCGCTGCCTACAAGTGACTGTAGGCATGTCAGAGGCGTAACATGCAGGGAAATGAATGGGACATCGGCACTGCTCACTGGGGACAGGGAAATGGGGGTTGGAGGAGGGGGGAGACATGACATTTCCTCTTAGGCACACAGCCCTGTGAGAAACAAGTCTCAGCATCAGAGGGGTAACAGACTCAGCAATTGTCCAGTGTCACAGAACCAGCTTTCTTCCCACCTCACAGGGGCACCTCCTGACGTGACACAAGGGACTGTCATGATGGTGTGTCGGCTCACCACATGTGCAGGTGTGTCTTTACAGCCAAGTGACTGGCTCCTGAGCCTGGGCCAGCCCCGTCCCCACAACCACCACTGCCCAGCTCCCCAGCTCTCCACAGAGCCGGGCTGGGGGGCTGCTCAGCTAAAGGTGCTCATGTGGGAAGGGGTCCCAGGCCTCCCCAGAGCCTTCTGCACAGACACGCTGCAAGCCAGAACAGGGTGACCAGGGCCTTTTTTGCACAGGCCACTCTGGGAAGAGCTTAAGACAAAATTAAAGAGAAGGGCAGGAGGAAGTGGGGGTCCACAGCCTTGTGGGGCTGGGGAGGACTGCTGGGCCTGGCTCCCTCTCCCTGGGGGTGGGCAGACACCTGCAGGGTCATAGAATACACTGTCCGGGTTGATGGAGGCCTCGTAGGGTGGTGGCGGGTCATCGGGCTGGTCAATGTCTGGATACTTGTAAGCCGTGTAGGGAGGTGGAGGGTCGTGGAAGTGGAAAGTCCCGCCTTCCCCGTCGTCAGAAAGATGCAGCGGTGTGAGGCCCGTGCCGAACCCATCTGGGCCGTAATCAAAGCCGGGGATCCTCCGGCCGAGGTTGAAGTGGTGCACTGGGTCATCAGAAGGGAGACACAGGAACAAAGCTGTGTCACTCAGAGGCAGGCTGCCTGGCTCCTCAGCCACCCGTCCCCTGCTGTCCCCGAGTGTCACACTCCTGTGCCCAGCTGCCCTGTTGGGCCACATTCAGCATGCTTACATGAGAACTCTGACTTGGCCTGAATCTCCCACCTCAGCCTTCCTTCTCCAGAGCCTCGGCCCTACCCCTCACCCACACACAATCTGTCACTTGATTCTGCCATTGCTACTGTCGGACCCAGTCTCAGGACTGCACACTGGCCTTCAGCTCTAACTTGTGTCTGGGTGTCTAACATACGACAGCCTCTAAGTTCTGCCGACCTTGCAGCTCGGTGAGAATTAAGGAGAATCTTGAGAAGAACATTCCTGGCCAGCAGACAAGGGTACAGAACCACAGTGACATGGGGCCTTCAAACCTGACCTGGGTGTCCAGGAAGGCACCAGAGGTGGTACCCCCCCCACCACCTCTCTCCACCTGCCCCTGCCCGTCCCCATGAGGACCTGAGTTCCTGGAGACAAGCGTTGATTTCGGAAGCTCTATTGGGGGTGTGGGCTGCTGTGGAGGAGCCTTTGGGCTGGGCCTGGCACACTGAAGAACTCAGGCTAAGGGGGATGAGCCACACTCTCTGAGCTGCCTAATGGCCCCCAGTGTCTGCTGCAGCTCCTCTGGCAGGTCACCTTTGACATGTGGCCCACACTCATGGCTCAGGCCACTGGAGGAGGGGACATCACCATCTGGATGCATGGTGTTGCCCTTCCTTGCTGCGAGGCTCAGAGGTTGGAAAGCCCACCTCTGATTTCAGCTCCATGACAGTTCCTCAAGTGCCCATCTGTTTCTCTGCCTCTCCAGGAATGTGCACAACCCAGGAGTAGGTGCATGAGTGAGAGAGAAATGCCCCCCAGCACCTTCCATCTATGGGGAGAGAGCCCAACCCCTCCTTCCTCCCTAACTGGCCCCCAAGGAAACTGCCTGCATCCATACTTTACCTCAGACTCTGCCTTGGAGGGGACACGACCTAGGACAGGGAGACCTGGGTTAGGACTGTGGCCCTTGGAGGGCACTCACGGTTTGCTCCAATCAGGGACTCGATGCGCTCCCGGCGTCTCTGGCGCAGCCGGTGGACCATGAAGAGCAGCAGCGACAGGATGAGAAAGGAGGAAATGCAGCTGACGACCAGACGCATCCCACTGGCCATGGAGTCAAACAGGCTATTGCCATCTGTCACGTGGGGAAGAAAAATACCCTCACTCTGAGTAAAGGAGGTCCCACCCCACGTGCTTGCCATAGCCCTCCTCTCCTAGGCTGAACACGTGGACAAGGAGCATTCATGTCTTGACTCTCTGCACTTGACCTCTTAGGACAGATGGTGAAATAAAACTACTCAAAATCAAGAACACCGTGATACCACCAAAAGCAGAGGAACATTTCCACAGGACAGCCCCTCATGGGTGCCCTATGCCCTGCTCTGGCACAGGGAGGCTGTCTCAGCTCACCCCAGCTCCTTCTCACTGGTAACTGAGCACCTTCCTTCCACGAGCACCAGGCCTGATGACTGCTGTGTGCAAACACCTGCCTGCCCGTCACTTAAGCAAGGAGGCCGCACTTCCTGAGACAGAGCTCTTAAGGCCATGCCCTTAACAGCACCGAGGCACACAAGGCTACTGCCCGCACTCTCCTTGCTAATCAGGACACGGCATCACCACCCCTACCTCACTGAGTATACACAGGTATGACACAAGACGACAACACAGAGCATCGTTTTCAATAGTGCCCAGAGCCCCGAAAATAACGGGGTGGGCTCAGGACATAAAGGCAAAGGGCAGCATGTATCCCGTCAGATGTGGGGTCAGAGAAGACCTTCCTCCCTTCTGAGGCCTGGAGCTCTCTGAAAACGCTCAGTTTCCTACCCAGAATGAGCCAGGGTGGGGCAAGGTAGCTGACCCTTCCCAGAGGGGCCTGTGGTCACCCAGGTGGGCAGGGGTCTCAGGTGAAGGGAGCTGCTGGAAGGTTTGTAGTAGGAGCAATGTCCCTGTGGAGCTCAATTCAGGGCAGCTGCTGCAGGGAGCACAGGCTGCAGGGAAGGAGTGTGGGGTGTTGGGAAGCCAGTGAGGAAACGTCTATGGTGTCCAGAGGAGGAAATGACAGAGGCCCATGCAGGGGGTACTGACAGACAGGGAGAAGTGACAGCATGGCATACATCTCACTCGAATTTTTACCATTATTTACTGATGGACTGAGCAAGGGACAGTGAGCACCTACTGGACTGCCACTCAAGGGCCAGGAGCAGCTGCAGTCTGCAACAACTGCTGCAGACACGTCTCACAAAGAACAGTCCACTCAGGTGTCATTTCACAAATGTGCCCCTACTGTAGCTGTGAGTCAAATACCCTCAGTCCTTAACAAGCCACACAGAGGACCCCCACCCCCCTGTTCCATGCCAGCCCCGGGCACACCTGTGCAGACCCACAGGCACGCTGGGGATACATGGGCACAGCACACAGGTGGGGCGGGCATGGGGAAGGGGTCATGCAGCTGACCTCCAGCAGAGCTGGGGCCAAGAGGCAATCAGTTCCAGCCGCAGGGCCTTCCTTAGCTGTCCCGACCCTGCGTCCTTCCACCCTGTTGGTGGTCACCACTTGGAGGAAGTGCTCATGGCATTTCCTGGGTGGAGGCCAGGGTGCTGCTCAACATTTTGCTGTGCACAGGACAGCGCCACACACAACAGCCACACGCCCAACAGTTCCCTGGTGAGGATGCCCCGCCCTGGTGCACACGGGACTGTGAGGTGCTTGTGGGGAGCCGCTGATGGTGGGACAGGGTGATGCACGTGCTACCGGGTGTGAAGGAAGAGCACTGACAATGCCACTGGCATTTTCACAGGCTCTCAACCTAGGGGAGACTAGCGACTGGCACGAAGTCACAGAATGATAGAACCAGGAAGTGGTCCCGGGCGTACCTGCCTCCACAGACTGAGGGTGGAGGTTAGGGAGAGGAGTGGCCTGTCAGCTCCTGGAAGAGAACCCTGCGAGGGTAGGGACCTCGCCAAGCTTTGGGAAGAGCTAGGACTGGCCACTCCCCTCTCCAACAGGCAGGTCAGGTCCCCAGCCACCAGCCCCGAGGAGACACTTCATGACCCACGTGTGAGTGGCTGGGCTCTCAGAGCCTGCTCCAAATCCACACAGATGACCAGAGCTCTCTTTTGCTCTCCTCCCACGGGGCCAGAAAGCATCTCCAAAATCTGTGTTTGTTTCTGACAGCACCTGTGAAGTGAACATGTGGAAAGGATACATCCTCTCCCCAATTAGCTGCTTTTCCTGGTGCCTCTGACCTGCTCCTGTCTCAAGAGAACATTCTGTCCCTATCTGTGGGCCCAAGTCCATCAGTATGTGTCTGTTAATTCACGGCCAGTTCAGAGATCCCAGGGAGCTGCTCAGAAAGCAGCACCTTTGCCATGACTAACTCTTAATCAGTCCTAAAACAAACCCAAGGCCATGGTCCAGGTCCCTCACTATCCTTCCATGATGGGGACCAGGAAGAAGCACCTCCTAGAATCAAGCCACCTGCAGTCAGGCATAAAGAAGAGAGTCTGTCCCAGGAGACAGAGGCCAGCCCAGGGATCTTGGGGGATCTATGAATGGTTGGTCCCTCCATGGTGTTCTAGACAGTGCAGACAGGACTGTCTTCTGCCTCCCAGCTGACCCGGGGCCCCCCAGACAGAAGACATGTTCTACTGGGGTAGATCCTGCCCTGGAGTCCACCCAGCCTGACCCTCGATCTGAAGACTGAACCAGTCCAGGTCTCCCGGTGGCCACCCAGCCTGTGCATGGAGATCTCCAGTGACAAGGAGCTCACCCCTTCATTGAGCTTGGTTCTGCGGTAACAGCTTCAAATCTCAGGTGGAGCAGAAGGTCAGCAGGGATCAGAGGCCAAGGCCCTGGACCCCGATGTGGACACCTCACCTCACCTCACCTCTAGGAGCCTTGAGATATCAGGGCTGCCCCAAAGCACCCGTGCAGGAGGGGGCAGAGAGCAGTGTGAGAGTTCAGTAAAACTGACGTGGCTGTAACTTTCATTATGTCAGCCTTTGCTAGGCGTCGTACCCTGTGCGGATTTAATTTGTTTCCCTCATGACCAGTACTGAGCGTCGTTTCAGGTTCTTGACTCCATCATACATCTTTTCTTCAGTGAAGTGTAATTTGAATCTTTTTTTTCATAGGGTTGTTTTCTTACTGAGTTTTTAGAGTTCTTTATATTTTCTGAATACAAGACCTTTGTCCAATTTGCTTTTTGCAAATTTTTTTTTTCAGTCAGTGACATTTTTTCATTACCTTTATAGTGTCTTTCAAAGAACAGAAGTTTTCCATTTTGATGAAATCTAATTTGTAAATCTTTCTCTTAAGAATTATGCTAAAATTGTTGCCTTTTCTATGGTCACAAAGATTTTTCTCTTATGTTTTCTTCTAGAAGTTTATAGTTTAAGGTTTTACAGTTAGGTCTATGACCATTTTGAGTTAATTTTACAGACAGTAGGAGATACAGTGTAAGCTTCTCATTTTATTTTTTTACATATGGATATCCAACCGCTCTAGCACCATTCGGTGGAAGACCATCCTTTCTCACTGTGAACTGCCTCTGCACCTTTCTCAAGTATCATTTGACCATATTATTTTTCATATGATTGAGTGGGATTATTTCTTGACTATTCTGTTCCACCAATCTGTGTCTATTTTCCCATCAATACCCCACTGTTTTGATTACTATGGCTGTAGAAGATAAGTTGTGAATCAGGCAGCATGAATCTTCCAACTTTGTTCTGTGTAAAAACTTTTCCTGCTATTCTAATTCCTTTGCATTTCCACATAAATTTTAGAATGTGCTTGTCAATGTCTACAAAAGTCTACTGGAATTTTGGTTGGGACTGCATTGAATTTATAGATGACTCGGGGTGAGTTAACCTCCTAATGATATTGAGCCTTCTGATCCATAAACATGGTATATACCTTTCCTTTTATTTAAGCCTTTGATTTCTTTCATCAGCATTTTCTAGTTTGCAGCATATAGAATGTACACATATTTTTTAAGATTTATAACTAAGTATTTCATGTGTTTTGGTGCTATTATAAATGGTACTTTTCTTAAAAATTTTCGATTTCCAGCTGTTACAGGTAGTATATATAAATGCAATGTTTTTTTGTGTGGTGACCTTATATCTGGAGACCTTGCTAATCATATTTATTAGTTCTAGTAACTTTTCTGGTATTCTCCGGGATTTTCTATGCAGTCATGTCATCTGCAGAGAGATGATTTCATTTCTCCTTCTCTGGCCTGGATGCCTTTTTATTTCTTCTTGCCTTCTGGCACTGGCTTTAACCTCGAGTACAATGCTGAACAGGTAGCAAAAACAGACAGTGTCCCTTTCTTGCCTTGTTGAAAGGATCACTCTGAAGACTAACTCCTGAAATCCTATTTCAGTGTCTCCAGTTTCGGTGGCAGCAACTCGTTCTTTGGTGCAATAAGGGCACTTCCCAGGAGAAGGCCCCTGGGAGCGAGTCTGGAGCCTGTGGAAGCATGGCCACAGTGCAGGCAGAGTGGGGTTTGGCAAGCTGCCTGGTTGTGAAAGAGTGGTCTGCAGCAGCTCTAGGCCTGTCCAGACACACTGTGGGTTCTGCTCTGCTAAGAAGTTCTCAGGACTGGGCAGGCTCCACTGTCCACATATGCCCAGAGATGGGTCATCCTTGTATATTTCTGGGCATTCTTACATAGGCTGGACAGAGTGGCAAGGCAGTACTGGTAGATTCCTGAGCAATGGAACCAGGAATCCAAGTGATATGGCTTGTAAAAGACACAGTCTGACTCCAGTAGAAGGTAACTGGGGTGGAGGTTTGGAGTGATGTGGCTGGGGGCATAGGAAACTTGGTAAGCACCCAATGAATGCTTCTCATGACCCCATGGGGCTGTACCCTATACAAGCAGAAAACTGTCTACCCTATAGGATGGGGAGACCCAAGCCCTGCCTTATTCATCTCTGGCTCCGTGTGCCCTCGCGGGCTCAACTGCAAATATGGCCTCTGTGCTCTCTGCAGTCAACTGCACATGTCTGGTGGTACGTGTGCCAGAGCCCCCACTTCCACCCAGCCTCAGACATGGCCTCTGGATGATGGCTCTGTCCTCCCACCCAGCAGCCATCCTGGCATGAGGGACTGACTCTGACAACACTCCACTCGAGGACAGTTCTCATCATTGTCATCCTTTCACCCAGTCTCCAGGCTCTTCTCCATGGGGGCCCCTGGAGATGAAAACAGCCACCATGCCTACCCAAGCTGCCATTCTGCAGGGTCCATGGCCCAGCAGCTTCCACAAGTCCCTGCCATGTTGCTCTTACACTGTGGCACCCAAAAAGGAAACAAATTCATGCTTCTGATTTACATTTCTCTGGAGCTCTGAATTCACAGAGTGGCCAGCTGCACAGTGTGCAGAATAACAAGCACGTCATACAGAGTTCGACTGGTGCTAATGGGCCTGGAGAGCAGGAGCCCATCAGCTGCTCTGTTTTGCAAGTGGAAGGAAGAGGCTTGTCCTAAGACCAGATTCCCAAATAGTGTCCACCTTAAAGGACCACCTAGTGGTGAGCAATTTTACCTTGAAATTGAGGATAATATTTCATCTTTTTCTTGAAGATTCTGACAGTAAACACTGATGACTATAAGTAATGACAATTGTCACTACCCTCCACATCACCATGCTAGAAAACTGGAAGAGCTCAAATGTGGACATAAATTAGAAGTCAGGCTCTGAGTCTTTTTTTTTTTCCTTTTTGTCTTTTTTCGTGACCGGCAACGGATCGCAACCCTCAGTGTCGCGCCCATACCGGACCGGGACCGGCAACGGGATCGCAACCCTCGGTGTTGCGCCCGTACCTTGCTCAGCCAGTGAGCCGCTGGTCTGTATGTGGGGTCTGTATGTGGGATCCGAACCCTCGGCGGGAGCACCGCTGCACTCCCAAGCGGCGCACTGTAGCAGTGCGCCACCGGGCCGGCCCTCTGAGTCTTTTTTTAAAAAAAGAACAGGTTTGAAGCCATTAAGTTCCAGCTGATTTGTGAAAATGCAGCCACACTCAAGTTCATTTGTGAATGCTACCTGTTACTGGAGAATGGGAACAAAGCAACTTCAGGGGTGACAGTTAAGGAGGTGGCTTGTATGAGACATGTACGCCTACTAGAGTAGCCAGCCGTCAAAGCCTCCAAGACACCTCTGTTAGCAAACTCTGCCATCACTGCTGCGCCATGTGCCATGAGCTCTCAGGAGCCTCCACCACTGAGGAAGCAAAGGACATCCAGCCTCCAGACCTGAGCAGGGAGACTGACTTGTGACCCACCATCAAGAGTCTCACCTGGGTCCAGACACATGAACTTGCAGCACTCTTTGGGGTCCTTGCGGTACTGCTGGCAACCCTGGGGCCGCTCACAGAGGGCAGCCACACACATCTCGGGCTCCCCTCCATGGCAGGTGCAGCTCAGGCATGGGTCGTCTCCCTTGGGAGTGAAGTAGAACCCTTCATCCACCACGTTGTCCTTGATGTCGACGCATGTTTGACCTGCAACAGGCACGCACATGCACAGACGTATGGTTATGAGCAAAGAGAGCCCTGACCTTTCCTACCTGAGCCTGGGGGGCAAACCAAGTAACTGAGGAGTTGACCAGATTGTGTGTGAGAGTCCTCCCTGGAATGCTGTGGATCTGCCCCACAATGCAGGGAATGATTGTCCAAGAGTGGCCACCTCAACACACTGTTACAACAAAGCACATGTGGCTGGGGCAAACATAGCCCATGGGGCCCAGAGAGCCAGGGCAGAGAATGCCAGATTCTAGGGTGAAGGTCCCTTGCAGAAGTGTTCGCTTTTAAGTTGCCTAAATAGCTTATGTACAAGATTTCTTCAATTCTAAGATGCAGCTGCTGAAGATATTAACCATTTAAAAATCAGAATGTATCTCAAATGAATCTCCAAAGAAGCTGCTAATTCTGCTTGGGAAGATGGTTCACTGGACTGGAGACACATGGGGTAAACTCTGTGCAGAACTGACCTGGGACTAGAGTAAGAGGAAGGAATGGCCATGTCCAGAGACAGGAATCTAAAAACCTGGAGCCGTAAGCTGTTGGCAGACATGATAGATGCCTGGGGCAGGGGATGAGGAATGAGGAGGGCCTGCAAAGGGACAGATGCTCAGTGAAAGACAAAGGGACATGAGAAGGAAGCCATTTCCTCTCCAAATGGGGTGGGGATGTCTGTAAAAAGACTCCTGAGAAATTTAACAACCATGGGTCTGTGCTTCACCTAAGAATGGGGTCAAATGTAGTCACCCACCTGGTCAAGAATCCCAGGGCAAGAAACTCACCTAAAATTATTCCCTGCTAAAACAAAGAAAAAAGAATGAAGAAAAACAAAGTGTCCTTAGAGAAATGCAGGACACCATTAAGTGCACCAATATATGTGAAATGGGAGTATCAAAGTAAGAGGAGAGAGGAAAAAGAGCACAAAAAATAGTCAAAGAAATAACAGCTGAAAAATACACAAATTCATTAGCGGGAGGTAAAAAAACCCTACACATCCAGGAAGCTCAACAAACTCCAAGCAGGATAAATGCAAAAGATCCAGAAGCTGACAGTGCAGTAAAAATGCTAAAAGTCAAAGACAAGAAAGAAAATGTTAAAAGCATCAAATGGAAAACGATTTGTTACTTATAAAGGAACTGCAGTAAGATCAACAACTGACTTCTCAGCAGAAACATGGAGGCCAGAAGCAGTGGGATAACACATTCAAAGTGCTCAAAGAAAAAACTGTCAACCAAGAATCCATATCCAACAAAGGCTACCTTCCAAAAAAGGAAGGCAAAAATACTTTCCTGACAGACTAAAACTGACAGAGCTTGTTGCCTGCAGACCCACTTTACAAGAAATACCAAGGGAAATTCTTCAGGCTAAACGCAAGTGAACCCCAGGCAGCTTTTCAAATCCACATGAAAAAACAAAGAGCACGAATAAAGGTACTTATGTAATTAAAAATTACAGTATAAAGGCATATTTTCTCCTTTATTCTCTTAAATGATTTAAAATAATATCTATATAATGTAGTGCTGGGGCACTTACAGAAATGTAATGTATCTATAATACATTTACCAATATATAATAGCACAAAGGAAATGTGTGGGAGCAAAGCTTTATTGGACTAAAGAAACTTGACCGAAATCTTAAGCCTTATTAAAAAAAAAAAAATTAACTCAAAATGGATCACAGACTTACACGCAAAATGTAAAAACTATAAAACTTTTAGAAAAAAACATAGGAGAAACTCTTCAGAACATAAGTCTAGGTAAAGAGTACTTAGACTTGACACCAAAAAAAAAGGTCCATAAAAGGAAAAATTAATAAATTGAACTTCATCAAAATTAAAAACTTTTGTTCTCTGAAAGCTCATGTGAGGAGGAGGAAAACAAGCTAAAGACTGGGAGAAATATTTGCAAACCACATATCAGACAAACGACTGGTATCTAGAATATGTAAATAACTCTCAAAACTCAACAATAAAAAGTCCAAATAATGCAAATAAGAAATGGACAAGTGACATGAATGGACATTTCACCAAAGAGGATACAGAGATGGCAAATAAGCACACAGAAAGGCATTTAACATCATTAGCCTCAGGGAAATGCAAATTAAATCCACAAGGACACAGTGATGTATCCCTATTAGAATGGCTGATACGAAACACAGCGGAAAGAAAACAAGTGCTAGTGAGGATGTGGAGAAGCCAGATCACTCACACACTGCTGGTGGGAGTATAAAACAGTACAGCCACTATGGAACAGTTTGCTTGTTTCTTAAAAAATCAAACACGCAACTACCATACAATCTAGCAACTGCAACTCTGGGCATTTATACCAGAGAAATGGAGACCTATGTTTGCACAGAAAACTGTATGCAAATGATCACAGCAGCTTTCACTGTAATAGTCAAAAACTGGAATCACCTCAGATGTCCTTCAACAGGTGATGGTTAAACAACTGAGCAAAACCATGAAATGCTACTCGGTAATGTAAGAACAAACTACAGTTGAGCATCCCTAACCCAAAATGCTCCAGAATACAAAACTTTTTGAGCATCAGCATGACACTCAAAGGAAAGATTCATTGGAGCACGTTAGGTTTTTGGATTAGGGATGCTCAATGGGTTTAGTATCTGCAAATATTCCAAAATTTAAAAAAATCTGAAATCTGAAACACTTCTGGTCCCAAGCGTTTTGAGATACAAAATGAACACAAACCTGTATTTATTTAACTATTTGATGGCTTTCCTGAAAAAAGCCAACCCCCAAAGATTACTGACTATATTCCATTCACAGAACATTTCTGCCTCATGATGTGATGCTCGACAAGGGCCAGGCCACATATGACCAAAGAACTCTGACCCGCCACCTCTGTAGTAACCAGCGCAGAACAGTCAGGATCTGGTCAATGACCACCAGCTTCCCTGTTCCGTGTCTGTACTTACAACCCAGGACCTGCCAGAGAAAGCAAATGTGCTCCCCAAACCCATCACCTAAACTTTCTTGATTCTGGTTGCCTCCTCCCATCAGAGTACACCTGGGCCTCTAGGGCACTGGAGAAAAGCCCCTGTGCTGGCTCCCACTCCAGCTGGAGGAGGGGCAGAGCACCTGTGAAGCCACACCCTGGAGACCCAAGCACCGCCCTGCCAAAACATCAGCCCCCAACACCAGAAGTTTACCAAACTTGGAGTGACATTCCCAGTGGACTCTGCTAGTAGAGCTGCAAGACACACTCTCTGACACATGGCCCAAAGCAAGAGCTCGAGTGGAGGATAAAGCAGACATTAAGAGAAACCCTCTGGCAAACCAGCCCCCACCCCAAATGCAAGGCATCACTACTATATATAAAGTCCAGGGTGCACTAAGGGTAACCACAGTGCCAACAAACCCCAAGCCTGGCCCAACCCCCGCCCCACTACACTAAAGACCTCCCCACAATAAAGTCCTAGCAGAAGGAAAAGCACAGCCAAGTGCAAGCTACCAGAACTACTGAGCTCAGACTCTACCATCCTACACGAGATGTCTGACTTTAAACCAAAAGCCCAGAAAAAAGCACCATGCTCCAGAGACAAAACAGTCCACAAAACCAGACTCAGATATAACACAAATGAAGGAACTATCCCACATGCAATCTAAAATAACTACCATTAGTATGTTAAAAGTTCTAATGGAAGAGGTAAGCAACATCCAAGATCAGATGGAAAATTCAGCAGAGAGAGAAACTATAAGAATCAAATAGAAATCCTAGAAATTGAAAAACACAGACAAAATGAATGAAACAGATGAAGAATATCTTCAGTAGGCTCAAAAGCAGACTTGACAGAGCCAAGGAAAGAATCAGTAAATCTGAAGCTAGATAAATAGAAATTACTCAAACTGAAGGACAAAAAGGAAACTAAAGAGATGACAACTAGATGCAATGCACAATTCTGGGTCAAATCCTGACCAGGGAATAAAACCGCTATAAAGGAAATGACTGGAACAACTGACAAAACTGGAACAATGGACGGTGGATTACTGCATGGCACTGTACCCATGTTAAAAGTGTCTTGATTTTGATCAGTGTACTGTGATTATGTAGGACAGTGTCCTGGTTCTTAGGAAATATATACTGAAGTATTTAGGGCTCAAGTTTCACAGCATCTCTAGTTTATTCTCAAATGATTCAGAAGAAAATATGTAGAGACAGTGGATGATAAAGCAAATGTGGCAAAATAGAAATAACTGGTGATCCCAGGTAAAAGGAGACCAAAAAAAGAGAAAGAACTAGTGAGTCTGTGTAGAGGATGTGAGCAAATTCCTTGTGCTCTTCTCGCAACTTTTCCCTAGGTGTGGAATCGTGCCTAAACAACACGTCACAAAGGTCTCCCTCTCCCTGGCCCAGATGGTCTTATAGGTACGGTCTGCCAGACACTCAAGGACAAGATTATCCCAATTTGTACAAATGGATTTAGAGAATGGCACAAGGGAGTGTTTCCCAACTCACTTCATAAAACTAATATAAATGTGATACGGGTGTGGAATCGTGCCTAAACAACACGTCACAAAGGTCTCCCTCTCCCTGGCCCAGATGGTCCTATAGGTACGGTCTGCCAGACACTCAAGGACAAGATTATCCCAATTTGTACAAAGGGATTTAGAGAATGGCACAAGGGAGTGTTTCCCAACTCACTTCATAAAACTAATATAAATGTGATACAAAAAAAGTCAAGGAGAGTACAGAAAAGGACTGTAACAGGCCAAGTTCACTCCTTAAAAGGGTTCCAGAAATTGTAAATAAAATGTCGGCAAATGGAATCCAACAATATAATATATACACAAAAACCATGTGGATGGCTTAACATCAGAAAATCTGTTTTTTGTTTTGGTTTTTTTTTTGGTTGCTGGCCAGTATAGGGATCGAACTCTGGACCTTGGTGTTATCAGCACTACAGTTTAACCAACTGAGCTAACAGGCCAGCCCCAGAAAATCTGTTAATTTTTTTTGGTTGCTGGCCAGTATAGGGATCGAACTCTGGACCTTGGTGTTATCAGCACTACACTTTAACCAACTGAGCTAACAGGCCAGCCCCAGAAAATCTGTTAATGTAAAATAATAAACAGATTCAAAGAAGAAAAATCACATAACTCCAATAAATGCAGAAAAAGCATTTAATACAAATCAATACATTTTTATAATGTAAATATTCCCAGAAAACTAGGAATAGAAGGGACTTCCTTAGCCTTATAAAGGTATGTGCTCAAATTCTATAGAAAGCATTATATTTAATGCTGACTCACTGAAAGCATTCCCAAGTTAAGAAGATATGAATGCTCACTGCTACCACTTCTAATCAACACTGCATTGCAGACCTTAGCGAGCAAAGTTAACACCAGGGAAAAAAAGGTAAAGAAATAAAAGTCAAAGATTTGAAAGAAACAGAACTGTCTGAATAGAAAATCTAGGAGAATCCACAAACTAAAAGAATAAGGGAGTTCAGAAAACTCATCTTAAAATTCATACAGAAAAGGGCCAAGAGTAGGCAGCATAATAGTCATGAACAAGGCAGAGGAGGTCACAATACCAGCTATCAAGATTTATCACGAAGCCACTGCAAAGACAACAGCCTGGTATTGACACAGGGTTGACAAAGAGCCAAAGGTCAGAATGGAGTCCAGAAACAGACTCAGCCATATGTGAAACCTTGATCTATGACATATCAGCAGGGAAGGGAGTGAAGGTCTAAATGACTGGGGCTGAGGTCATCAGCGGCTGCCAGGGCCAATTTCACACCCACCCCGTCACAGACGAGGGCTGGATGGAGGTGAGGAGTCCTGCCCTTAGTTGGCACAACCACACTGTGAGCCTCTTAAGCTGAAAGAGACCTCCATGTGGAATTTGGGCGAGTGAGCTGGCAGAGGAAGGGAAAGGCCCGTAACACTGTAGACTGGGGAGGGAGCAGCAGTCCAGACAAGGCAGACAGAAGCAGAGAGGATCACAGAAGGAGCCTCAGAGAGGTGACCAAGTGGCTCAGATGCTGCAGAGACGCCACATGATTGGCAAGTCCTTGGGTCACCGTTCCCATTTAATCTCCTAACAACACTTATACGGTAGGGCAGGAATTATCCTATCTATCCTAGGGGAGAGAACTGTGGGCTCAGAGATGTCTCCCAGCTGCCCAGGCCACAGAGCTATGATGGGCCAGCAGGGCTCACACCCGAGAGCAAGGTGTGAGTGGTGAGGGGCATCTGCTGCGACACTACAAAGCCATTCTGCCTCAGAGCAGCGCAAGGTTGGAGTCCACTTGAGGCTGACACCAGGGCCCAGGCATTTCCCTGAGAAGCAGGCTCGGGGGGCTTACTTCTTTTACACAGAAATGAAGACTTCTCGTAGCAGCTCTCGGCATGCCAGCTGTGGAGGTCGTGGTGGCGCAGGGTGGGGAAGTGGAAGCACTGGAGCTGGGCACAGAACACATTGTCGTTCTCAGACATGGCCGAGGCAAAGATGGGGTCTGGGGGCAGGAAAACCTCCGAGGAGCCTGTGGGGGAGACACAAAGTGGGGTGGGACATGACAACATAATGTCAGCAGATTAGTCATGCACAGTCCTCAAGGGGACCACGGTGTCAAACAGGACCATCAACCAAAGAGTTGTGGACTGCAAAGTGCTAGTTGTCACTGTGGTTCTAGCTCCAGGCACGGGCCGGGCAGGGCCCCTCCTATGGAGATGGAAAACACCCAGCCAAGCAAACACTGGGTGGCTGCAAGTACTACAGAACAGAAGGAGGGGCTGGATTAGCTGGCAGCACTCAAAGTCAGAGCACCAACGCGAACAATCAAGTAATGGATTATGATACACAGTGTTAAAATGCATGAGTTCATAATGATAAACCAACAGATAGACAGGGGAAACACATGGGTAGGGAAGGTTCTTCCCTAGGACAGAATACCCAGTAATAAATTAGGGACTCAGAAAGTCTCCACACTGCCCCTGTGAGGAATGTGCCATTTGGGTGGAATTATTGGCTCTAACACCCACCGAAAGCATTGGCGTTCCCCAAGCTGGCCAGGGTGAATACCCGGAAAGCACTGGCTCCCTGGGACCCTCTCTCAGCACCAGAGAAACTCTGTCACCCACTCAGATCATGTCCACTAAGCTGGTGAATAGGCGATTAGAAATCACATTATCCTTGGTGCTGAGGGCAGGGGTGTGGTACATTTTGGGGGAAGAGGCTGCTAACCTCCCAGTCTCTCTTCTGAACGTCCCAGGAAGGGGGGTTCTGGCCACACCCCAGGATGAGGCACAACCAGCCCCCAGAGCCTGTTCTTTACCTGGCACAGCCTTATAAGGCTTGGCCACCAAAAGATTCCTTGAGGCTAACCCAACACAGATCATTGGAAATATAAAAGCAACCTTTTCCAGCAAGCAGAAGAATGCACGCACACCTTAAGCTCTCATTCTACTAGGATGGCAATGTTTACCCCTTTAACAACACACCAGGCACTCCCACCCACACCTTTTCGAACTCTGTTTACTCCCAGCACTAAACATGGAGTTTGAAAAGAGCTGGTGAGTCCAGAAGCAGGTCTCACTCCTTGGGCATGTGGACACGTATTCATTTTGTGATCACTACTTAAATCCAATAACAGAATTCTCAAATCCATTAGATAGGGCACAAGCAGCCAACAACATGCTGCCACCTGTGCAGAGCTGCTGGAGCTCAGGGCACCCAACCCTTGCTTGGGGGCCACTTGCACACTGACCTGCCCCAACAGGGGAATCTACATCAGCCACAGCTGCCAGGGTCGATACACACTAAATCTTGTTCTAAGTTTTAGGTTCACTCTCCTTATGCCCCAACGGAGCCACTGAGATAAGCGTAGCCATTAGAGTCCACCCAGGGTCCTTGCCATTATCATGCCTGGGATAAGGGTCCCAATCCCCCAACTTAGAACATCCCATTATGCCATGAAGAACGATGTCTTCCTCTAACTACCAGTGTCAAGAAGAAAGCCGTGTCCCTGAGTGTCTACACTGTCCTGAAGGCCAGCACCCTCTGCTGGGGCGAGGGGGACAGGCCTGGCCTAGGACTGCATCGTTGCAAAGATTTACCTCCAAAATTTGTGACTAGCACAGACGAAAAACTGCTAGGAGAATTATCCTCTACACGTCACACTGTGACTTTGGGGCCTGTAACCCAAAAGCCATTTATTTGTCCACCATTGCTGTGGGAAATCTAAACAAGACACTTACAAAGTTGGGGAATGCAAATATAGGTGGTGCTTTAGGAAGGGAATCAGAGGACACAAGAATGAAGTGACATCCTAAGCAGGAGCGAGGGCCAGCAGGTGCAGCCCTCTCTGCAGCCCCATCTCTCCTCCCTGCCCTGTTCCAGCTGCCAGGCGTGGTCCCTGCCTCTCTCCAAGGAAGCCGGCTGAGGGCACTGACCCTTCCCAATCCGTCCCAGGGCCCGCCCTCCTCACCTATCCTCAGAGACACTTAAGACATCCACGGCAGGACTGGGGCGTGTTTGGGGAAGAAACCAGACCCAAGCTAGAGCCAGAGGCCCAGAGAGCAGCCCAACAGGAGAAGCCTGACGAGGAGCGCTGTTGGGGAGCATGGCTTGGGCAGCAAGTGGAGAGGGTACAGGCAGGGTGTGCCCGGGCCTGGGGCCTTACCAGGGACAGGAGCTCAGCTGCCCACAGTGACTATGTTTCTTTCACATTGCCTTGGTATTTCCAAGCAACTCAGAATAATATCTTAGAGACAACACACACGCGCACACACACGCACGCATGCACGCACGCATGCATGCACCCACAATCTATTTTAACTCTATCCACCTGATAGTTTCCTTCAAGTTTTGGATACTAACTCTGACCTCTGTCCTAGGAGGCTTGTTCTTCCTTTTCTGGCCCATGTCAGTGGCATACTTTGTATGTCAATTTTTATGTCCCAATCTAAGTCCTTAATTTGAAAAGGAGGATTTCATGTCTAGAAATCTGGCCAAAGTGAGAAGCAACAGGGGGCTCCAGAGAAGGCCCCAGCCACACACAAGGCCTGACTAGCAGGCTGCACACTGGCCCCAGGGTACCTCCTGTTGTCAAAGGCTTCCCTACAATCTGGGGCCACTCCTCTCCACGACCCCTGAACCAGGTACCCTTGCAGGACAGGCACCCCCCAGGTGAGAGGGTAGAGAGAGGAGGGGAGACCCCAGCAATATCCCCAAGTCAGGATGATTCCCACCAATTTAAAACTCAACAACACTTTCAGCAGACCAGAAAGGCTTACCTTTGAATGCTACCTCCCAGCGACCTTCTAAGGAGCGGTTTCGGCCGGTGATAACATACTGATAGCCAACCCACAACCTGTAGGGGACAGAAACAGGGACCTCAGTGGCAGCAGGGAAACAGCCATCAATAACTGTGTGTGTGTGTGTTTTAGTTATACTGACTTCCAGAACAACTCAACTTCTAAAACATTAGAGTAATTTAAGTTTTAACAATTTTAATAAAATGTATTAAAACTCTAAATAACAAATCCATGGGTCAGAAAAGTTTTCTCTCAGGTAACTCTTGCCAAGACTGCCCTTATTAGTTGATCCGAAAAGCTTTCACATCAAAAGCAAGATCAACCTTATTCTTGGTGAACACAAAACCCTGTGAATACAACTCTGAATATGCGAAAATCACAGAATGGTCATTCTAAAGGGGTGAATTTCATGGTATGTGAATTACACCTCCAAAAGAAACAAGACCCTGTGAATACACACTGCCATGCTGGTAGAAACACATCAATGGCTTCCTTCTCAGATGTGGCCACCTCAGGCCTGCAGGGTGCTCCTGAGTGCAGAGGGGACCCTGCACACAGACCCAGCCAACATCACAAGTACCTGCTGGGTCTGTGCCTTTGCCACAGCTCTCCAGCCCCAGGCCTAGAGCTGCCCATGGCAGGTGCACCCGCTGCAGTGCCACTGTGCCCTCACCCTACACTGTGCACACACTCAGCCCTACAGGACACCGACTTCCCAACCCACGGGGCTATGCCCTCTCACTTCTCCACTGGGCTCACAGGCATTTCCTTGTGGGGTTGGCACAACAACTTGTGAGCTAAAAGTTATGTGTCTCACTCTGCAGCTGCAGAAGGAGAAACAGCACGGTCTTATGATTTGCCAGCATCGCACGGGGCATAACTGTGAAGCCAAAACCCAGCTCCCGTCTGGAAACAAAGGCCCTCTGTCCACCTGCCTTGGGTCATTGTGCTCCCACAGCATGTGGCAGCTGGTGCCATTGTGGGGAGGCAGCAGGCGACCGGTGAGGGAGATTGGCCATCTCTTACCCCTACAGCTCACTCCCCCTCAGGGCTGTGCACACCTCTGGGAAAGGAGATTACAGCTGGCTGCCACTACCTACTCCCACCTGTGGATAGGTGGATAGGACAGCATGACATGACCTCCAGAGGTGGCACACCACAGGCCTCAGGACACCCTTGCCCCCTAAACAAAAACACTAGGCCTGGCAGAGGCTGTGGTCAGCTGCCTTTTCCACACTCTCCCCTTGATGCAGCAAAGCCAAGAGGTCAAGAGCCAGGCTCTAGGGCCAGCAGGCCTGGCTAGAATCCTGGCAAACATATGGCCAGTCACATGCACATCCACTCTGGATCCCCTAAGGCTTCTGAGTGGGCCTGAATGGGCAGCCCATGGAAATCACTGAGCACAGAGCCAGCAGGACTCACTTTCTCAGGAAGACCCTCACCCACCTGCACACCCCTAGTGCCAGGCCCACACAGCCCCATAGCAAGCAGCCCCTCCTGACACAGGCGAGCACCCGCTGCCTGCACTCGGCAACTGCAGCTGTACCACAGAGCGAGCCAATGTAAGGGGCTGGCCCCCAGTCCCACAGGTGGCAGCAGAGCCCAGCCCACCCCTGCACCCTCCTCTAGCCCCCCACCCCATCCCGATGCACACTCTAATTCCTGGATCCATTTGCTTCCAATGGGCATGGCTGGCCTTCCCCACAATGCTGGCTGACGGCTGTGCCTGAGGAGTGCTATGGGGCAGCCAGAGGCCATGTGCTCAGCGGTCATCAGACGCAACCTGCAGTCCCCGCAGGCCCCCAGCCCAGGACTTACTTGCGCTGGTCCTTCCAACCAAAGCTCCGCTCTGGCTGATCCCATTCCTGGGCCAGAACGAAGCGCAGCTCCTGGTCGGTGGAGAAGGTAGCAAGGGAGCCGTTCACGCGCTGGCAGGTCTGTGCACAGGACTTACTTGCGCTGGTCCTTCCAACCAAAGCTCCGCTCTGGCTGATCCCATTCCTGGGACAGAACGAAGCGCAGCTCCTGGTCGGTGGAGAAGGTAGCAAGGGAGCCGTTCACGCGCTGGCAGGTCTGTGCAGCGTCCCAGTAGTTCTCCCCGCTCAGGTAGACCCTGTAGCAGCTGGCCGTGCCCTCATAGTGGTGCCACCCTGTCGGGCACTTCCCTAGGAAACATGAAAGACACAAGGGGAGTTGTCCCCAAAATTAGGATCCTTACTCCAAGAACACAATCGTGTGCTGCATCAAGGACAGGCACACCTCAATCACCCTAGAGAAGCAAGGAAACTGAGGCCCAGGAGGACCAGCTCCTGCTTCTAAGACCATATACTTTGTAGAAATGTTCAAGTTTCTCTAAAACACAGATTCAACTTAAGGTACAAGTATATTCAGTAATTCCTTCAATTTTGATAAGGAATTTCTATAAAGTGGATTTCATTTGCTGATTAAGTCTGGTTAACAAGACAGCACAACTCCCCGTACAGACTCACTGCGAGGCCCTGGTGGGAGTGAGCAGGAGGCTCCCTGCCCTCACTTCCCCAACGCCAGGCTCTCCCCACCCCACCCCTCCTTTTCTGTTCACATGGGCATTTTCAGTAGGGTGCTGGCCAGAGCTCCCCTAAAGAGCAGACTAGTAGACCAGAACTGGGAGGGCTGTGAGACTGTGACCAACCCTTGCCTCCCACAGACGAGGAAAGGAGGCTCGGGCAGGGCTGCAGCTGGCAAAGACCAGGAGCCAGCCAGAGCCCAAGTCTCCCTGAAACTGGCTAGCGTCTTTTCACCTTGTGGACCTGTCAACCTGCCCCTCAGGCACAAGAAGGCTTGGAACCTTATGGCTTACCTTAGGTAACACTAATGACCTGTTTCATAGAATCTATAAGCTTCAAATGCTGGGGTACCTCCTATTAGTACGCTGAAGAAGAGTAACAATTTTTAGCAAAGCCAATTTTTTAAAAATTGCAATTTTGGGGCCGGCCCGGTGGCGCACTGGATAGTGCGCCGCTTGGGAAATGTGGCGGCGCTCCCGCCCGAGGGTTCGGATCCCACGTGCGGACCGGTTCCCGCTCACTGGCTGAGCGAGGCGCGGGGGCGACACCGAGGGTTGCAATCCCGTTGCCGGTCCCTGGTCCGGTACGGGGGCAACACTGAGGGTTGTGATCCGTTGCCGGACACGGAAAAAGACAAAAGACAAAAAAAAAAAATTTGGAATTTTTTTTTCCTTTTTGTCTTTTTTCGTGACCGGCAATGGATCGCAACCCTCAGTGTTGCGCCCGTACCGGACCGGGACCGGCAACGGGATTGCAACCCTCGGTGTCGCACCCGCATCTCGCTCAGCCAGTGAGCGGCCGGTCTGTATGTGGGATCCGAACCCTCGGCGGGAGTGCCGCCGCGCTCCCAAGCGGCGTACTGTAGCAGTGCGCCACCGGGCCGGCCCAAAAATTGCAATTTTTTAATGCATCTATATCCTGTGGAACTAGTAAAATTTCTTAGAGACTTATGTTCATGTTTTTTTTTAATCTAGTGTACCTGTGTGTAAGTTATTAACAAGGCACACAGATCACAGCAAAGGAAATGGCAGCTCTGGCCCCTGACCCAATAAGGCATCTCCACAGCACTGTGTGCAGTGGGTGAAAGCCAGACCTCAGCGTGAGCAGGTGGCCTGGGTAAGTAGACCTGGGTGAGCAGGGAAGCTTTTCAGGTATAGATGAGGAGCCAGCAAAGCGCAGGGGCAGTGCAGCGTGTGCAGCACACGCCAACAAGGGGAGAACCCAGCTGCACTCACTATGCACTTCCTGAGCACCACCCACATCAATGCCTGCTATCTGCCACCTGCCCAGCAAGAGGTTCTGTTCCATCTCCACGTCAGAGGTGAGGACACCGAGGCACAGAGAGGCCGAGCACCTCTTCCTACCTCGGGATGTCCCAGAGGAGACCCTCTGGAGGGAGGCAGTGGAGGGAGAAAGCATCCCTTTTTATTGACTTGTTTTACGCTTTGAACTTCGTGGAATTATTACCTAGATAGTATACCTGTTCAAAAGAAAACACGTAAACAATGGGAAGAAAGAACATGGAGCTGAGCACCGGGATCTCCCAGGGCTGCATCCTGGCACTGCCCCTTCCAGCTATGTGACCTGGGACAGGCTGACCTCTCAGAGCCTTAGTTTTCTTGTCCGCCAAGAGTGTGCAGAGCCCTTCAGCTTCAAGTAGCTTCCCATAGCTACTGTGTGGCAAAGCCAGGCACAGAGTTGGGGCCCACACCCCTCACTGCTCTCTCAGTCCTCAGCAGACAAAGAACAGAGGCTGCATGGGGGTTGGAGCCGCAAGGAACACAGGGGCCCACAAGATGGTGGCTTCCCCGGGCCACCTCACTGCTGCCAGCATTGGCATAGGCTGCAGGAACAGGCCAGGGTGCGAGTGACCCCCAGCACTAGGAGCCCGGGGGCTGAGTACTAGCACACGCAGACAGACCCCCAACATGGAAACAAGCGCATCAGTGTGGCCCCTGCTTGGCTAGGGCTGCTCACAGAACGGAGGTGCGTCACCCGACCTAGCACATCTGCACGGGATGGGGCTTCAGCTGGGGCCTTTCCTTCCCTCAGCTTTCCTTAGCCTTGTTACGCTCCTGTAAAATTTTACCATCATAGGTAATTCATTAAATAACTAATCACTTAAAAAAAAATACAAAACAGAAGTAGAGCCTTCCCATCCAATCAGCTGTAGTTAATCTCTCAGAGCCTGTCTCTCCACTTGCAAGAGGGAACAATACAACTATGGGATTTCCAAGGGCCGGTGCCACCCAGCGCTCAAAGGCAGCCATTCTGTGAAAATACGTGGCCTGGCTTCATAGCCTGGGTCACCATGCAGCCTCTCTCATTCCCCCCAACGCCTTCAAGGGCTGCTTTAGGAAACAAACACCTGACATGGCAGTGTGGCATCAGGAAGGCCAGGGGCTAAGTCAGGCTGTGCGCTCACATCGTCACGGTCAGTGCAGGTCTGCAACTTACTGCTGAAGCGGACGGGCTGCGCCACGTTCACCGCGTGGAAGTGTGTGGGGTCACCTCCTCTGGCCCGCCCCTGCCGCGGATCCACGGCCTCCTTCCCATGGTAAGGACGCGCCTCCCCGGTCACTTCTGCAAGCAAAAGGAGAAGGGCGCTGTGAGTTTTGCTCAGGCAGCTGAGGGTAGCTCTCTACTGAAGTGGGTTCAGCCGACCTAGGGCTGGAAGGACAGGGGGGCGTGGCAGCACACAGCCCATTTATTCTGGCTTTCTTTAGAGCTCTCTACAACGTCGCCATTCACATCGAACAGGTCACGTGTGCATCTTACTAAAGCTATGCCTTGGAGGCTGGCTGGTTAGCTCAGTTGGTTAGAGCATGGTGTCAATAATACCAAGGTCTGGGGTTCGATCCCCGTGCTGGCCAGCTGCCAAAAAAAAAATTATGCCTTGGCAGTCTTCATTTTTTTTGTGTTACTATTATGAAATGGGGTCCTTCCTTCATGGCATTTTCTAACAGGTTACTGCTAGCACAGCAAAGGGTAAGCCACTCCTGCTTAAAATCTCTCAGTAGCTCCAGCTTCCAGGGATGCCAGACAAGGGAATTTTTTCCAGAGCCCAGCTGCCCCTTCCCCCAACCCTCACTGTCCCTGAGAGCCTCCCCTGTTAGTGTGAAAGGGGGACCCACTGTGTGCGACCCTTCTCTTCCTCAGTCATCACTGGGCCTGAGCCGCCTGTCTATTCACCTGCCTGCCGGTCCCCAAAGGCATGACAGCCTCCAGGCCAGGGCCTCAGTATGTTCACGTCTGCCTCCTCAGCACTGGCACAGGCACTGGTGTGCAGCAGGCCTTGAACAGGAAGCTGCAGATGGGGGAAGAATTCTAGTTTTCTATAGCATGATCTAATAAAACTCTTTGAAACAGTCTCTCTTTAGAGTCCTCCAACCCCCTTGTGAGAGAGGAGAACCATGCTACTCCCAGCTCCCACATGAGGGGCAGACTCAGAGAGGTAAAGTGATTTACCCAAGGCCACGGAGGAGGAACAAGTCAGAGGCAACGCCCCTCCTGGGCCCACCCACCTCCCACTCTGCCTGCACAGGTGTACCCTGATGCACAGTGAAGGGCACCTGGTACAAAGTCAGGTCGGAGGGGCAACAGATTGGCCCACATGCTACACACAGACAGAAAGACAGACACCTGCCAGCAGGTGTGCTCTGGCTGCAGATGGCTAGATGAGGGGGTCTCAGCTCCCTCTGGCTGGCCTGAGACAGAGGATGAGGCAGGCAGCAGCATGGGGCGGGGCAGCCTCCTGCAAACCCACCTTCCCTGACTCTGGCTGAAACTTCGCTAGCTGCCTGGTTCTGCTAGTGTCATGGACTCTGACACTGCTTTTATTTAACAAAAAATCTGTATTTTTTTTTCTCATTATAAAATAACGAATATTCAATGCAAAATATTTCAGAAATACAAAGTTTGAAAAGAGAAAATGTGTAAACCATTATATAATGGTTAGAGTCCACCCTGCCAGTGTTTTTTTTTCCTACACAAATCCTTAAAAATATTGGGATCACATCAAACACTGTATTTTATGACTTGCTTTCTAAGCTTAAGACTAGAAACATCTTTCCATATTCCTAAGTAGGCTTAAGAACATTACTTTTAATGGCTACACAGTATTTTGTGAATGGATTTCTTTAATTTCCATGATCGCTATAGTTTGAAGTTTAGGTTTGCATTTTTTTTTCATTATTCTTCGGCTGCATTGAACAACTTGTACAAAACTCTGTGCTCCTCTTTATTTATTTCTGAGACCCCTGGGCAGGTCACAGCCCTGGAAGCTCTGTTTCCTTCACTCACTGAAGACTCAGTGAGAGGTTTTTCAGAGCTCCTTCTCAGGCACGTGATGGGGATCGGCTGCTGTTAGACTGAGAATCACTCT